AAAGAATGATGCCTTAGGTGTCTGATTTGGATACCACTATTTGCCTATCAAACAATATTTTTGTTTACTTGGTTTAAAAACCAAGCCTTCAAAAACTAGTTTTCTGGTTCTTCATTGTGAATCATCTTAAAATAAAGGTCTTGCCAACTGCATGCTGGCAAATGTTGATTTGTAACCAAAGTAAATTTTCCAGGCATGTGCAGAAATTTCATCAGTCATCTTTAATTCTTTTGTAAATGAACATGGTCCCACTGATTTGGCAAAGCTGCTAAATTAGTGTAACCAATTTGAAGTAAGATAGATAAAAGATCAAATATCTATTTTTTCAAGTTAAAACCATTTCCAGCTTCCTTTGTCAGATGTGCAGGAAGTCCAGCTTTTTCTAGAGGCCTCAGCTGCTACTTCACAGTGGTTCTCAGGTAACTCAGTTTTCTTCAGTCCAAAGAGGCCGTTCTGCTTCCAAATGCCTTACTGAAAGGAAATGAAAACTCTGCCAGTGCACAGGGAAGTCTAGTGTTCAGATGTGGTCATGGCTGTGCTGCAAACTGGTCCCACACAATCCAAAAGATCTTTTGTCCAGTGCTGTGAAAGTAGTTCAGATGGCTGCAGAGACCTCAACACATGATGTGTCTGTCTTGGGTTCCCAAAGGGGCAGTTTTTTAAGCTATAGTCACATCTACAGCCATTGCTCCCAATCCCAAAGAACATCGGGGACAGGTTCTGGCCTCAGCCACATACTTTGCCAGGGCGAAATCTGCTTCCTGGCATGATATCCATCCCATTCTTCCCTAATGGTGAGTTCTCTCTTGGAGGCCTTCATATCCTGTCCTGTCAGCTGACTCCTATCTATGAGAAGGTTCTAATTAGGCTACACCTCAAAATGGAGGAGGTGAGATCCAATGCTCCTGACACCTCCGCAGACACCCGACTGTACAGGAGGGAGTTCTGGGGAAGGATGGCCTTTGTCAAGCCACAAAGTGGTCAAGCCATTCTTCCCCATGGGCAATTGTAGCTAATTGCCCTGTATTTGTATAATAAAGAAGGATTACCAAGGGCATCCCTTCTCCAGAAATTGTGGGCATCTTTCTAACTCTATTTAGTCTTTGGAATAGACTTCTTTAAATGACAAATCCTTTCACTAAAAAAATTTCAGGTTCTGAATGCAAAGACTTTCTTAGTTAATAGTTAATTATTGAAGTGAATTTTGATTAAAAATGAACAAATTTACATGCATAATGTGCAACTGCTCAGAAGTGAAGTGTCCAGGATACCTAATAAGATTTTGTGCTTTGATAAAACATAAATTGGAGTTGCAGACATTGATTCTGACATGCCCCCATAATGCTAATACCTTTCAAAGGTACAAGAATATATATTATATATTTGCTTTTCTTTGAACAGTATATCACAGACTCATCCCTCTTAAGGGTTAGAAAGAGACTTTAAAAAAAAAAAAAACTGGCCTGAGCAGTCTACCATGACTGTGTAAAACACTCATGACTGTGTAAAATAGTTGGGGTGAATTCAACCGACGAGGCAGTCTGATTTATGCCTCTCTTTCTTTCTAAATAAATAAATAAATAACCTGGGTCACTTCATCCCCATCTAAATTTTCAAACAATTTTACTATGCAAAATCTATCTTCCCTGATACATCTATAAAAGAAATAAAATATATTCCAATTCCATCCATGCACTTTCAACTGCTTCACAAGTTATAACATCATTCACCTATGCATAGAGTAACAATAATAGAACCTACTATGTGTTAGGATTTTTTTGGAGGACGTTGCTCATCTTAATTTATTTAATTCTCAGAAAATACTGTGAGGTAGGTACTCTCATTACCCCCACTTTGCACATGAATTTGGGCATACAGGGATTAAATAACGTGACCAATGTCGTCGCCCAGCTGGTAAATTGACAGAGCCCAGGCATAGTCTGGCTCCAGAGTGTATGATCCTGACCTTTATAAATATTACTAATTAATTAATTCAATCAATGTTGAATGAGCCTCTACTCTGTTCAATACATTGTGCAAAAATTGTAGGATTTTCAAAAATTTTATAGGGTCCTTGCCCTCAGGAAGCTTCTCGTTTGCTTGTTGCCCTAATTAGAATGCAAAAGCAATGTGGTTATTCTCATCTACCTGAACTTTCTTCTCTTTGCCCAACCCCCCTGTCCATGGTGCTAGGTCCTAGGATTTTAAACCAAAATCACGGATTTACAGAATTAAGCAAGATCTTAAACCCCAGTTGAATTTGTTTATTTTACAGATCTGAAAACTCAAGTGCAGAGAAGTGACTTGTTTGAGGTCACAAAGTTAATAATAAAATACAACTAGAAAGGTAGTCTTCTGTTTCCCAAGAAGTAAAATATATTTATTAAAATGTATGTAAGTTAGGCCGGGCATGGTGACTCACACATATAATCCTAGCACTTTGGGAGGCTGAGGTAGAAGGATGGCTTGAGGTCTGGAGTTTGAGACCAGTCTGAGCAAGAGTGAGACCCCGTCTCTACAAAAAATAGAAAAATTAGCCGGATGTGGTAGCACAAGCCCGTAGACCCAGCTACTCTAAGCTGAGGCAGGAGGATCGCTTGAGCCCAGGAGTTTGAGGTTGCAGGGAGCTATGATGATGCCACCTCATTCCAGCTGATGTAACAGACTGAGACCCTGTCTCAAAAAAAAAAAAAAAAAAGGCTGTAAGTTACATTTGTACAAATTTAATTCTATTTTATATGCCTAAGTGGAGATTGCTGTCTGAAGGAGTAAAATATTCCACAAAGGCAATTATCATTTTAGAAATCAAATAACCATCCACCATCATGCCAAACCAGGTCTTTTATAAATCTTGGTAATCATATACTGGATTTGATGATATCAGACAAAAAGAACTTTGGTTGTCTTATCAGCTGGCAAAGTAAACAAAAATTCCCTGATACTATGGGGAAGATGCTGAATAACGTTGATAGAAAAATGTTGAAAGTTTTAGGCTCCATCCACAGTTATGAGATTGCTATTTCAAACCAGCAGCAGATATACCATGGTTGACAGTTTAAACTCCCATAAAATAATAATAACAGTTAACACTGTGCACTTACTATGTGCCAGGCACTCTTCTAAGCACATTACATGCATGCTCTCATTTAATTCCCGTACAGTCTGATGGAGTTGACACCATTGTCTTCATTTTTTTAAATGAGGAAACTGGACTGTAGGGAGATTAGGGAATTTGCATACAATCATAAGGCTAGGAAATAGGGAAAGCAGGATCATTTAGAGCGGTATGTCCTACTGTTGATGCCCACATTTTCTTTGTATAAGAGTGTGGACTAGACCTAGATACTAAAAATTTCCAGTGAAAATTCAAAAGTAGTATTAAAAAAGCATATTATTCATTTGGGCCCTAGTCTGTGCTTCAACACTCTATTTGAATAAACACATAGAGAATATTGTGCTAGACATTATGGGGAGTATCAAAATGAATAAATATAACCTTTATGCTCAAGGATTTACAGCTAGATAGGAAGAATACTACAGGAACACACACAGTTGTGAAACAAGCCAGGTTGGCTGGCATGAACTAGAGCATATTCATGACATACCAAGTCGTTTGACTGCAGCAAACGCTGTGCTTAAAAAGTGGGCGAGGAGATGAAACTAGGAAGCTAGATTAAGATCAGACAGCAGAGTGTAATAAATGCCTCACTAAAAAATATGGACTTTCTTTAGAAGGCCAAAAGGCTTGGTCGCAAGGAAATTCCATGGTCAAAGTTAGCCATCAGGGAGATTACTCTAGCAGCGGTTAGAGGTTGACACCGAGACCAGAAGGCAGTTTAGAAAGGCTAAGGGAAGAAGCGACATAGTGCAGAACAAAAGGGTAGCACTGGGAGTGGGGAGGAGACTAATAAAAAGATATTATAGGGCATGTTCCATCAGAAATAGGTCAACTATAAAAAATAAAAAAGGACAGAAGAAAGAAGAGGGAGAAGAACTAACCCACGTTTCGAGGTAAAGGGTAATAATGTCTTTGGTGGGAGATGTGGAAGATAGGAGGAAGTGCAGCCCTGAGAGCAGACATGCTACATTTACTTTAAGACATTGATTTTGGCCTAGCATGGTGGCTCAGCAGTGGAGCGTGCCTGCAGTCCTAACTCAGGATGACCACTTGACCTCAGGCATTCGAGGTTGCAAAGAGTTATAAGCATGTGACTGCACTCCAGCCTCTTAAAAAAAAAAAAAAGACACATTGGTTTTGATGAGCCAATGAAAGGTCCAAATAGAAATTTATACAGTCATTCACCGAGCGAGCAGTTACCAAATGTCTGCTATATGGACATCCCTTCCATAAATGCTTGTAATCACTACAGGAGGAGTTTTCTAGTGCTTCTTCTCACTTGAGACCATAATAAAGTATAATATACCCATCCCAGTCTAAAAAGATTCCCAAATACAGTTGAAAAGTTGTCTCCTTCCTTTGAACTCCTGTATAGTATTTTACCACCTGTACCACTCATGAGGTGCTTAGCACATATGATTACATACGTATCTATATCTAACTATACATATTATGTTACTTTACAAACTCTGCA